CACATCCTCGCCAACACTTATTGTTGTCTGTCTTCATAACAGCTGCCATTCTTATTGGAGTGAAATGAAATCTTAGAGTGGTTTTGATTTGCATTTCTCTAATTGCTAGAGAGGATGAACATTCCTCCAACGAGAGAATACATTTTCTTCTCAGCAGCACATGGCTCCTATTTCTATATATGTTTATATTCTGATAATTATATAATTGTTATAGTTCTTTGTTAGATTTGACATTGTATCTCTCTCTTTTTATTGTACCATAAACATACTTTTACACTTGCAGTCCCTATTTTTCTATAATAAATATTGCAACATCAAAAAAAGAGATGGGGATCTCTTCAACCACACACACTGGCTAGCTCCAAGGCCATCCCTGACTCTCGAGTAGTAGAGCAGAGGTAGGCATGGGCACATGTAAAGCAGAAACTCATCAACACATTACCACCCAGAGATCACCACTGCTACCATTTTGGTTTTTATCCCAGGATTTTCCTACATATATAAATATACACAGACATTTATTCACATAGTTATTTAATTATGGAAATTGGATATTGTGTATTCTCTTTGGTAGCCTATTTTTCAACTTATGACTTTTTGGAGAGCTTTCCAAAATGTAAATAAATACAAACAATTTCAATCCTATTATATAGCTGACAGGTCCATGTTCCATTTATCCAAACCCTTACTGTTGGGTTTCTGAAGGGATTTGGGTTTTTCATTATTACAAATGATGTTTGTTGAGTATCAGTAGCACTGAGGGAAGACTAAATGAGTCAATCAATATAAAGCATTTCTCAGAATAGCTGGTTGTCTAAAAGTGTTAGTGTATTCTTTGTGAGGTTGAATTAATTTATATTCACAACAGCAAGGGAAAATATTCTTTAATTCTTAGAATTTTTGCCTTTTTATTTCTTTTGTGAATGATTTGTTTGTAATCCTCGTCCTATTGGATTCCACAAGCTTCTAAAATTTTCATTGACTTCTGCACTGGAGATATCAATTCTGGTTATAGGGATAACAAGTGTTCTTTTTCCTTAAGAAAAAAGGAATAAACTTACAACTTACCTCCAGTTCCTAGAACCTTCAGGAGCTCAAAATTTTCAATTCCAACCTTCTCTGCATGTCCTGTTAAATTAGCTAAAAAGAAAGACAGAGAGAGAGAGAAATAATTAAGGGGCTCACAACAGGACAGGTCCCATGGGGCTTCTGATGTACCAGTAAAGTTCTATATCTTGGCCTGGGTGATTAAACCACCGAGCACTTTATAATTTACTTGTTAAGTGGCATAGCTACATTTTGTGCAATTTTATGTTTTACATTATAATAAAACTTTTTTAAAAATTTAACTAGATAATGGTACCAAAAGTTAACATAAAGTATTAAAAGACTCACTATGGACCAATATAATCTGAAAATAAACAAAAATTCTAACATATATACTAAAAAGAAAATTTGACAGATTTAGAAGATATATTTATTGATTCAGCAAATATTTACTGAGCATCAAATGCCATCCTTAGCTCTAGGTTGGGTCCATTTCTGCCACTAAGAATATGTCACTGTCACCTGCACACATGGCATCTCAGCCACCTCACCTCTGAAGAGCAAGCACTGGCTGGGCACAAACTAAGATCCCTCTACCTCTAACGTTCTAGGACTATGTTTAAAATATAAATTCTCCAAAAACATATTCTATCCTCCACAAACTTTATAATAAGCACTTTCCACTGAATTCTAGTCCTATCAATGAGAGGTTAAAAGGTGCTGTGTTTGGGGAAGTACGGGGAGCAGAGTACTCTGGGAGTCAATTTGGAAATGGCTGGCTTTTACAAAGTTAAATACTTACCTAAGTGCTAAATGTCACAGATTCTGTACCACACAAATGCATTATCTAAATCTTCAAGATTTAGATAATGCATTTGTCAACTTATTTGAGTACAAGTTTCCTATTGTGGCAATGTTATAAATATTATCTGAACTAGCATTCTATGGAAATGGTGAAGAATGGAGCCAGGGTTGGGGATGTAGCTCAGTGGCAGAATGCTTGCCTAGCATGTGCAAGGCCTGGGTTCAATCCTCTGCACCACAAACAAACACACACACACACACACACACACACACACACACACACACACAGAGACATAAACCAAATCCCAATTCTACCACTTAAAAGTTGTGTGGTTTTAAACAAGTTACTTTTCCGTGTCTCAATTGAGGATAATAAAAATATCTATTCCCAAAGTGCACTGATGTTTGAAATTTAATTTGAAAAGCATTTAAAAATTAAAATGACTGATAAATATAGATATGAATAGACATGTCATAAAGTAAATATCACAAAAATTTGATTGCTGAATCTAGATAATGAGTATAAGAGTATTCAACAGACAATTCTTTCAAATTCTCTGTGTATTTTTTAATGTCTTTATTAAAATGACAAAAAAATAAATAAGACCTACCTCACAGGGTTTTGATGAGGATCAAATAAATTAAACTCACACAGTGCTTGATGCGTGTTCATAAGCAGTAGTGTGTCACAAATTATTGCTTTGAAACTGACTGCAACTTTAAGAGAATTAGACTTAACCCAAACTTTTAGAATTAAATATTAGGGGAGGCAGATGATGATGATGGTTTTAGCTGCTGAGTTGATTCTGTATCCACAACGGAAATTCATTTCTTGTCAGATGTGTAGTTTGCAAATATTTCCTCCCATTCTATAGGTCGTCTCATCACTTGGTTGACGTTTTAATTGATACAACTCCATTTGTCAACTTTTCCTTTTGTTGCCTGCCCATCTGGGAATGTAGCCAAAAACTCTTTGCCCAGGCCAATGTCCTGAAAAGCTTCTCCTGTTTTCTTCTAGTAGCTTCAAGGTTTTCAATCTTAACATTTAAGTCTTTGATCCATTTTGAGTTGATATTTGTAACTGGTGAGAGTCAGAGGTACAACCATTGTTTATGGTATTATTAGTTGTGATATATTGTTTTGGGCTTATAAAGTCTACAACAGTTGTTTGTATGATACGATTTGCAAAGAAATTAAGAAGAAAGGGGAAGAGAGAGTCTCTTCTATTGTTCACATATTTGCCATATTTGATGATCATACTCTTCGGAGATCCAAAATTTCATCTGTCATCACTCCCCCTTAACCTTGAAGAACTTCCTTTGACATTTCTTATGGTATAGGTGATAAATTCTCTGATATTTCTTTCATCTGAAAAAATATTTATTCATCTTTATTAAAATTTTATTGATTTGTAATTCATATGCTGTAAAATTCACCCTTTTAAAGTGTACAATTCAGTGGTGTTTAATATATTCACAAGGTTGTGCTATCCTCACTGCTAATTCCAGAATCACTGTTGTTCTTGAAGGCATATTTTTTGGTAGACAATTCTGGTTTAACAGGCTTTTTTCTTTTCTTCTAGTACTTGACCCGTGTTCATCTGCTCTCGGCCGTCATGGAGTCTGAGGTGGAGTCAGTGATTAGCCCGTTCCTTAGTTTGAAATGCGTCCTTCTCTCATTGCTCTTTACTTCGGCTTTCAACAGTCTCCCAATGATGTATCTTAACACAGATTTCTTTGGGTTCATTCTGTCTGGTATTCTTTGAGTATCTCTTATTTGTAAATTTCTCTTCTTGATCAAATCTGGGAAATTCTGGCCTTAATTTTTCAAATATTTTTCTATCCCATTCTCTTTCCACATTCTTTCTTCAAGTTCACTTGCTTTTTCTTTTGCATTTTTATTCAACTGTTGAATCAATTCAGTGAACTTTTATATTTCATGCATTATTTTTCATTTCCAGAACTTCCATTTAGTTCTTTTTCATTGGTTTTATTTGTCTGATTTTCCTATATTTTTCCTTCTGAGAGAGTATCATTTTATTTTATTAAGAATACTGTAAAAGCATCTTAAAAATTCTTATCTGCTATTTCCAGTATCACATTCACCCTGGGAGAAGCCTTATTTGATTTTCTTTCCTCTTGGGATATGTTCCATTTTCATGACTATTAACATGTAGGGTAATTTTGGATTGTATCCTTAATAGTGTAAATGTTACTTGTGAAGAGCCCAATTTCTCCAGTGAGTGTCACTTCTTTTGTTTTAGTAGACAAATACCTTGATGTGGCTTGACTTGAATTTTAAACGTTGTTTCTATGGAAGCAGCTCCAGTCCCAGCTGAGATTTCTTACCTTTAGCTGAGTTACTCGGAGTCTGCCATGTTCATGCTTAGTTCAAAGGTTAGTCAGAGATGTGGTGCACAAAATCTGAGGATGACCTCCTCTTCCTCTTCTTCCTCTGGGATTCTACTATCATCACTTGTTAGGGTTCCCCAGTTTCATTTTCTAGTTTCCCTGACCAGAAGACTGCTATTTTTCCACTGGAGTCCCCACAGCATGGAACATACTTAACCTGATCAGTGTAAAAGCAAAGCTACTTCTTAAAAGCACCCCTCCTTCCCTCCTCCAACTGTGGACTCCCCACCAGAGCTATTTGCTTCTGTTTATTCTCAAATGCTTTCAGATATCAGCATTTGAGAATAAACAGGACATCAGAGATTAGGATTTCCATGGGCAGACTGGCCATTCTCTTGCACTTCTCCCTTCCAGGTATGCAGTAGTTAACTAAGCAGGTTTAGGGTTGCCTTGAGACCTGGGGCTATGGTTTTATCTTTGTGTCACCTCCTCCCTCAAATTTATTATGTTGAAATCCTAATATCTAATGTGCTGATATTTGTTTTTGAATTAGGCTTTTATACCTGTTTTCTCAAAAGGCACCCTTCAGTAGTGGGTTTTATTCTAACATTACAAGAAGCAAAAGTCTTCTTGCAGTCAACATTATAACAGTAATTTCTCTTTCAACCTCTACCTGCACAAGTTAATTTAAAAGAATAAAATCAAATAAAAACTGTGATATGATATAGATCCATCTCAGAGATCTTGAATTTAATATCCATATGATTCTTTCTTTTGCATTATATCCACTAGGCAAAGTAAGTGACCATACATATGGAAGCAATTCAGTAGGAAGCTCAATCACATATAGGCACAGGAGTATTTAATTGTAAATATTTTTTCACTGTATCAATGACAAAATACATGAAAGCAAATGGGTCAAGGCTGTGGCTCAGTGGCAGAGCTTGTGCTTATTAGCATGTGAAAAGCCCTACCTAGGTTCCATCTTCAGCACACACAAAAAAGCAAATGAAAAACACATATTCAAGCATGTGAATGTAGGTGTCTAAACAGTTCTCATTTCTATGCTATTATTTTGTCATTATGATTAAAGCCTTTGAACATGAAAGTCTAAAAATAAACTATATTTCTCTTAATTAAATTGTTAACCTAAGAACAAGAGCTCCAACTTTCCAGCAACAACACTAACATTTATTAGAACAAGTCTTAAAATATTTACACATTTTATTTCACCCCAGAGGTGATATAAACATCACTGATTGCAGAAAAATCTTCTGCTTGAGAGTCACTCACATGCCTTAGTAAGTTTGAAGTAGGTTAATCAGAAGACATGCTGCTACCTTCATGCCTGGGACCATGCTATCAAAACAACCTGTACTCTTGGGAGAGAATTAAGAATGGCCATTGTTTTACTTTATACTCAGAAGGACATGAAAGTACCTTACTGTGGCTGTAGGAGAAAAAGAACTTTGCTTCTGATCCTATGCTAGGCATGCCTCTGCTTGACCCCCTTTCTAATTTTCCCCAAAGGTGAGACAGTTACAAATCTAACCATTCAGTAGTCTAAAACTCTGAAGGTCCACCTAGTAGTAGGCGAGCCACTGTGTCAAAAGATCAGCCTCCGGCTGGGCTGTAGCTCAGTGGTAGAGCACTTGCCTAGCATGTGTGAGGCACTGGGTTCAATTCTCAGCACCACAGATAAATAAAATAAAGGTACACTGACAACTAAAAAAATAGATCAGTCTCCACACAGGTATTTGGTTTTGGCCTCAAATTTCGGTTGTGGTCTGATCTCTGAGGCAGACTGGCCATTCTCTTGCACTTCTTCCTTTCAGGTATGCAGCAGTTAGCTAAGCAGGTTTAGGGTTGCCTTGAGACCTGGGGCTGTGGTTTTAATGTTGTGTCACCTCCTCCCTCAAACTCATTATGTTGAAATCC